CCCCAACACTGACACAAAGAAATCTGCAATTCGACAAAATTCCGTCCTCAATGGAATTACTACCTGCACGTTTGTTACATCCTACAGCACTTGCAACACATATAGATATTAAAAGTGCTGAAAATTAGAGGTGTTACTAGAGAGTAAAATACAAAGAAAAGAAGAAGGGAGAAGGATGAGAAATGTTAGATAGAAAAGGAGCATAACCACACCAGTGCACCCACTAACCACCCAGGAAAGCCATGCTTTGTAAACAAATGAGCGCAGGTAAATCACAAGCCCTAGAGTTATCCTACAATCTATCATGCAAGATTTTTTTTTTTTTTTAAACTGAAATATTCACATTATCTTGCACATTTTCTCTAATTTCCAGAAAAGTGTCACCCTAAAATATCCCTATGGGCTGTTCGCGGGTGCTCTAAGGTAGTTCGCTCCTTCTTTCCTATCAAACATCCATCATCACCCTCATCTCTCCTCCTTCTTTTCTTTATATACTACTCTCTCGTAGCAGAACCTCTAATTTTCGACACTTATATGACCTAATTTGTGTTGCAAAGGCCGTAGAACTTGTACTAAAACCGAAACACCCCCCACCGCACGGAGAAAGGTTACCTGCGTCACACTGACACGAGGTGTAGGCGATGAGATCCGAACCGCGGGTCACAAACTCACAGCTTCCTCTGTCCCTACACCCACCGTCGATGCACGGCTGGACTTCCAGGGACACGTCCATAAACACGATGGACGGGCACTTGGGCAAACGTTGTCTGTCCAAGTAAGGGAAGAGATTCACGAGAAAAACATATTTTTCAAATGTCCATGTTTGGGAATAGATCTCACGAGAAAAACGTGTCTTTTTAAAATTTGAAGACATATTGTCTGTCCACATATGGGAATAGATTCATGAGAAAACAATTTATTTTTTAAATTTGAAGACATAATTGATGGCATAGGGTATAAAACTCTTGCCATACGCCATTTTGAAACGTGACATACGTTAGAACATCCGACAGAGCAGTCGATATTCTCGACACATTGGTAGCCTTTTGCCAGAAAGAGTGAATGAAATTGGCCAGGTTTTTTTAGGTTACGTACCAAGATGCCACACATTCGAATTCGATAGGATTGTCGTAGCTGAAAAAGGGCAAGAATGCATGAAATGTTACTTTAATTCTTATTTCATTACAAAGTGACTTGAGCCACCAAGGCGTAGACACTATAGAAATGATCTTTATTATTATGATATTATTATTTTTGGGAGGACAACATCAAGGAATGGACAGGCCTGGAACTCAAAGACACGCTCAGGAAAGCTGAAAACCGGAAAGAGTGGAGGAAGCTGGAGGCCAAATCTTCAAAAGCGGCCCGACGGACATCCAGTCTACAGGATAGGTGAGAGGTGAGGATGGTGGTGAAGATCATCATTACCTTTTTTATCATTATTTTAAAAAATTATTAGTATTATTATTACTAAGTACAACAACAACAACAAAAATTTGGTATGCGCCTCAAATCCCAAAACCCAGTCCACTGAAACAAATGTAATGAGGCGGAGCTCACCCCTTATCGTCAAAGCAAGTGGCCTGCAGCAGGATGTGCCAGAGGCCGGCCCTCGGGTAAGGCACGTACTGGACCACCTCGTGGTTCCCCGCCTCGCTGTAGTTGGCCCGCACGCTCCAGCCCAGGTCCTGACACACGTCAAAGTGGTCCGTCAGCTCGGGCAGGCGGTCGTAGAGCAGGGCTCCGCACACTAGAACCTGGGCCTGAGGGAGGTGGGGGGGGGGGGTTGATTGATGGATTGAGAAGGTGTTTTACGGCACTATCGAGCTAAAAAAAAATATTGTGTTGAAACTCAAACACTGTGTATTGAAAAATAGAAAAAAACTTAAACGTTTTTTTTCTGTCCTGAAAAGTTTCTTTTTCTGGGCCGGTATGTTTTGTTAATTTTAGTATAAGTATTTCGACTCTCGCAGCTGCATAAGGCCATATGAGCACCAGAAGATTAGAGGTGTTACAAGAGAGTAACAGACATAAAAAAGAAGAAAGGGGAGATAAGCACGATAGATGTTTGATAGGAAAGAAGAAGCAAACCACACCACAGCACCCGCCAACCACCCACAGTAAAACTCGCACAAGAATCAGAGCTCGGTTCACTACTCAAATCAGTTTTAGTTTTAGTAGTTTTAGTTGAGGTTTTACGGCGCTCGCAACTGCATAAAGTCATAAGAGTGCCAGAAGATTAGGGGTGTTACAAGAGAGTAACAAACATTAAAAAAGAAGGAGGGGAGATAAGGACCATTATACCATAGATGTGTGATAGGAAAGAAGAAGCAAACCACACCAGTGCACCCGCCAACCACCCACGCTGGTATGCTTGAACAGCCAACCACCCACGCTGGTATGCTTGAACAGCCAACCACCCACGCTGGTATGCTTGAACAGCCAACCACCCACGCTG